TGCACTAGAGAAAGTTGTTATCCAAAAATAATCTAAACATATTGGCACTACTATGACATTCAAATTCCAAGAGAGTTGTTGAACTTCCCTCGTATATCTTCAAAAGCACAACTTGTCTTCATGGAGTACGTGCAAAGTCTAGTTATAGCCTGTTTACACCTCCTTGGAACATATAGAAATGTAATCAATGCATGGTTGTGCTAGCTAGAAGCTAAGTTGACAAATTTTTTCAAGGCAAGGATAGAATTTTGTTTCCTAGCTAGGTTGGCCAATAATTAAATATTACTCCCTCCCTCCTGCTATGAAACTCATTATTTACAATTGGGAAAATAATCAAATACACTTCCGAACTTTATACAAAAGGTTAATTAAGTCTATGATCTTTTAAAAATTGTAATTAAACTTATCAACTTGCAATTTTCGTGCATTCAAGCCAAGAATCGATTAATTCTAGGCCGTCGCCCATAACATCATATGTAGTAGCTGACGTGGCATTTTAAAAATAAAATAATAAAAAATATTAATATTAAATTTATAGTTAAAAAAAAAAAAAAAAAAAAAAAAAAAAAAAGATGTTGGCCATGGCAACCACCTTCATCTTTCCCTCCTTTGTCTCCAAATTTGGAGACGAAGGAGGGGAAAAGAAGGGAAACACTTTATTATTTTTTTTTTTTGTTAAAAAAAGAGCAGTTTGTAGGCAGGAGAGGCGAAAGGAGGATGAAAGAAGAAGGTTGCCATTATATATGTTTGTTTGTTTTGTATTTTTGAAAAAATTTAATATCATTACTTTATTTTAAAAAAGAGTAAATATCCAAAATGGTCCCCCGACTATAGCTAAATTCACAAATTGGTCCTCGACTTTTAATTTTAACCAATTAAGTCCTTAACTTTGCAATTTTGACACGATTTGGTCCTCCATCTATTTGACCGTTTGTTGACCGCGATCTTTGAGGATATATATGTAGTTTCACGTGCAAAGCTCAAGAGAACGCTCTTGGAGGTGACATCGTTGTTTCGGAGGGGGGAAGTGCTTCTCCGCTTGCTGCTTGGGGATCACGAGCCGGTTCAGCTTAGAGAACGCTCTTGGAGGTGACAGCGCCGTTTCGGAGGGGGGAAGTGCTTCTCCGCTTGCTGCTTGGGGATCCCGAGCCGGTTCAGCTTGCCTACATCGCTTGGAGTCACGACTTTCTCGAAGAGCCACTCCATGGACTTCGGCGATCGATCTATCAAAAGCTATAATCTTTCCGGCATGGGGTGCAGCGCTGGCAGTGGATTCAAATGTAACAGTGCGGTCTAGAAATGCAACCGGAACCTTAAAAAATCAACGATGGACCATGAAATTACATATATATCCTAAAAAAGCGCAGTCAACAAATGGTCAAATAGACAAGGGACCAAATTGTGTTAAAATTGCAAAGTTAAGGACTTAATTGGTTGAAATTAAAAGTCGAGGACCAATTTGTGAATTTAGCTATAGTCGATGGACTATTTTGGGTATTTACTCTTTAAAAAAAGGAGAAGTGTCAAATAGGCCTATTTACAAGTGCAAAGTGTTCAATTCCCACGACGAATTAAATTAAAGTCTAATTAGACACACTTACCAACTAAATTTGTTCAATTAACTTTTTTTGCAAGTTGCTAATCGGTTGTCAATTTAATTATTAAAATAAATAATTTAAAAATTTAAAAATAAAAAAAAATTAAAAATTTAAAAAAAAATTAAAAATTAAAAAATTAAAAAATTAAAAAATTAAAAAATTAAAAAAATTAAAAAATTAAAAAATTAAAAAAATAAAAAATTAAAAAATTAAAAAATTAAAAAAATAAAAAATTAAAAAATTAAAAAAAAATTCAGCCACCGGCTGTCCTCGCCGGACAGCCGGTGGCTGAATTTTTTTTTTTTTAATTTTTAAATTATTTTTTATTATGTTTTTTAATAATTAAATTGGCAACCGGGTTAGCAACCTGCAAAAAAAAAAAAAAAAAAAAAAAAAAAAAAAACTAATTGAACAAATTTAGCTGATAAGTGTGGTTAATTAGACTTTAATTTAGTTTATGCTAGGAATTGAGCACTTCACACTAATAGATGGGCCTATTTGACACTTCTCCCTTTAAAAAATGTCACATCATCTACCAGATAGGATGTTACCAGCAATTACCAGTAATTAATTAAGGAAAATGCTTATTACCCATCCTGAATTTTTCTTACTAGATTTCCTTCCTGATGTTGCTTTCACTCATTGAATGTCATGAATTGGTTAACCTACCACTAATTTTAAAAAAAAAAAAATAGTAACCAATTAACTAATGACACATAAGATGAATTGAAAGCAATATGATGTATACTAAAACTTTTCATTTACATGTCTTTGCATTTTACACAATTCATCTAGGAGGAATGATGTCGTATGTCATTATTCAAAATAAAAATTCCTATATTTTTATAAAGCACAACAAAATAGCTTCATTCCCTTTGGCATATTTGTAGACATATTTGTAGATAACTAGCTAGCAACGTTTAAACCGAAAAAGGATTGTGTGCTAGAAGATTTAACTAGTAAGAATACTCCGGTTAACCATTAGTACATTAGATGATATTAAACTTAAAGAATGAATAAAGGAGATACATAAATTCAATTTAACAAAAATATAATATGATGCTTATATGTAAATAATTTTTGCTTTCTTTGATGCACGATGAAAATTTAAAAGCTTTTGCATAATTTTAAACTCCTTATTAGAATCAAACTCCACTGAGCCAATAATGACAACCTTCTCAAGTGCAGGAAAGCAAGCAAGTAGTATCTTCATGAATCGCAATTCAAACCTCGACCCATTGAATGATGTAAGCTTTAAAGTATGAAACATTTTAAGCATTCTAGCAGCACTTTGAAGTCCCGCCCAAAGTATAGATTTAGAGATTTCTGCATAAAACTTAAAAAAAAAAATAAAAAATAATAAAATAATAAAATAAAATAAAACCTCAATCAATTCATTTTTTTACACCAGTATAACCTTGTATTAAGTAATGCTAAATTATAATAGAACAACTAGAATTTCATTAAATAATTTATCTCAATGAAAATGAAATTACCGATAAATCCATAATATTGAGCTTGCGTAATTTTGGGAATATTTGTAAGGAATGAATAAATGAAGAAAAGTCATCATCATCATGAAAATCGGACATATGATAACTCCAGGCATTCCACATTTAGTTTAGGTCCTCATCAAGTAAGTTCGCCAACGACAGAATGCTTTGAAATAAAAATGATATAAAAATGGATTAGTTCCTAAAATGTATTTCAAATAAATAATAGTCCACACAAAAAGAAAAGGATGAAGAAGTATTGTGGCTAATAAGCCTAATATACCTCGAAATTAAAATCCAAACAAAGAGTATGAATAAATGACAAGTCCAAGTTAACCGGAAGATCGAATAGGAAGATAATCGTCAATATCGTCATAATCTTTATAATCATTGAGTGTTAAACTGCCAAGTCTTGGAGCCTTAATGTTGAAATATGACACATTTTGACATCCATTAAATGAGAGTTTCAAGCTAGCATAGGAACATCTATAACACAATTCATATTAATAGCACCAAAGACAGCGATATCAAAACTAAGTGAAGTGACATTCGAAAATATGCAAGGCACATTTATTGTTGGTGCAACTAATACTCCCCCAAAATCCAACCTCTTGAGAGTTAAGCAAAAAAATATGCAATTTGGGAGCCTGAGGCATTTATTCGATGGAAAATCTGTTTCTAAAGAAACCATATTAATGTTCATTTCTTCCTTTTTGAGTGATAAAAAAGAACCATTGATCGAAATCAAACTTCTGAGAATTAGGCCCATCACCAACGATTGGTGAGTTAAAATAAAAATCAAAGGCAAATTTCAGAATACGTCCATGGTGTCCCATGAGAACTTTGTCGATTAGATACATAAAGGTTTATGTGTGATTATAACTGTTAGAATATTTTCTCCGAATATAAGAACCGAACTGACGATCAAAGTTGAGTTGTGTGAGACTGAACCAACAATCTCTCCAAATGGTAGACAAAACGGCAGTTCTAGCAGCTTCTACGATCGACAAAAATCCCAAAATATTGTCAAAGTATTTCTGTCGGAAGTTGACTGATTCTGTCTCTCCCCGACATTATTTACACAACTTCAACATATGCAATTTAAAGAAGAAACAAATTAAAATTAAAATTAGAACAAAATCCTAAAATAAAATGTGTACTTGGTGATAGTAATTAAATTGGAATACAAAAGGATTAGTGCACCCAATTGCAGAGTAGAAAGCACAAATAAATCATATATCAAAATCGCTTTATTCAATTTCAATAGCACTATATATGAACATCTATCGAACATTAATCCCTAAAGAGTAAAGATTGTATGACAGTATGAAGTTAGTGTCTGGGATTGAAAAGGAAAGGCAGAAGAATGTATACATACACACAGGAGAACGCAACAGAATGGGTTTGAGAAGAAGCTGTGATTGGAACAGTGAAACGGAGAGAAGCGGCAATATCCAAATCACTTTGTTCAATTTCAATAGAACTATATACATATATATATATATATATATATATATATATATATATATATATATATATATATATATGAACATTTATTGAACAATAAAGATTGAATCAGCTGGTGCATTGTCTTTAAAGCAATTACCATGAGAGATGGATTTAAAATACAATTCTTTTCATGTACATGTCTTTGCATATTCTTTTATTGCATTCTACACAATTCATCTTGGAGGAATGATGCTGCGTTATGTCATTATTGAAAATACAAATTCTTATATTTTTTAGAAAGCACAACAAAAAAGCTTCATTCCCTTTGGCATATTTGTAGATAACAAGCTAGCAACGTAAGATTAATTCACAACCAAAACAGGGTTGTGTGCTAGAAGATTCAACTAGTAAGGATACTTGAGTTAACCATGAATACATTACATAATATTCAACTTGAAGAGTGAATGAAGGAGATGCATAAATTCAATTTAACAAAAAATATAATAAGATGCTTATATGTAAACAATTTTTGCTTTCTTTGATGCACGACGAAAGTTTAAAAGCTTTTGCATAATTTTAAACTCCTTATTGGAATCAAACTTCATCTGACGAATAATGACAACCTTCTCAAGTGCGGAAAAACAAGCAAGTAGCATCTTGATGAATCGCAATTCAAACCTCGACCCATTGAATGATCTAAGCTTGAAAGTGTGAAGCATTTTAAGCATTTTAGCCGCACTTTGAATTCCTTCCCAAAGTTTAGAGTTGGAAATTCTTGCACCAAACTTCAAGAAGAAAAAAAACCCATCAATCAATTCATCTTTTACACTAGTATAACCTTGTATTAAGTAATGCAAACAATAATAGAAACACCTAGAATTTCATTAAATAATTTATCAATGAAAATGAAGATTACCCATAAACTCATTATGTCAAGCTTGCGTAATTTGGAGCATATTTGTAATGAATTAATAAAGGCAGAAAACTCATAATCATCGTGAAATTGGAGATGTGATAACTCAAGGAATTCCATATTTAGTTCACGTCCACATCTTGTAAGTCCACTGACAAAACGCTTGAAAATTTTTTTTTTTAAAAAAAAAAAAAAAAAAAAAAAGATATCAAAAGGGATTAGTTCCTAAAATATATTTCAAATAAGTAAAACAAAAAAAATGAAGTACTGTGGTTAGTTAATATACCTTGAAATTAAAATCCAAACAAAGAGTATGAATATATGACAAGTCCAAGTTAACCGGGAGAAGATGAAGATGTCTTGAAACAAATCATTCGTGAATGTTAAACTGCTAAGCCTTGGAGCCTTAATGTCAAAATATGACACATTCGCACATCCGCTAAATGAGAGTGTCTCAAGCATGGGAACTTCTATAACAAAATCCAGATTAATAGCACCAAAGATAACGCTTTCGAAACTAAGTGAAGTGACATTCGGAAATATGCAAGGGGCATTTATTGTTGGTGCAACAAATACTCCAGTAAGATCCAACTTCGTGAGAGTTAAGCAAGAAAATATGCAATTTGGGACACTATAGCATTCATTTGGTTGAAAATTTATTGGACTTGGAGAAATAATATCCATTTCTTCAACACCTTTCTGAGTAACAAAAAGGAACCATTGATCCAAGTCAAACTTTCGAGAATTATGCTCATCTCTAATGATTGATATGTCATCATCGAAATCAAAGACAAATTTCCGAATAGGTCCATGGTGCCGCATGAGAACTTTGTTGATTACATACATACAGGCTGATGTGGCATTATAACTCTCACAATATTTTATCCCAACAAAAGAACCGAACTGATAATCAAAGTTGAGTTATGTGATACTGGACCAACAATCTCTCCAAATGGTAGACAAAACAGCAGCTCTAGCAGCTTCTACGATAGGCAATAATCTCAAAATATTATCAAGTATTTCTGTCGGAAGTTGACTGATTCTATCTCTCCCCGACATCATTTACATAACTTCAACATATGCAATTTAAAAAGAAACAAATTAAAATTAGAACAAAATCCTAAAATGTGTACTTGGTGGTGATAGTAATTAAATTGGAATACAAAAGGATTAGTGCACCCAATTGCAAAGTAGAAAACACAAATAAATCATATATCGAAATCACTTTATTCAATTTCAATAGCACTATATATGAACATCTATTGAACATTAATCCCTAAAGAGTAAAGATTCTATCACAGTATAGTATGAAGTTAGTGTGTGGGATTGAAAGGAAAGGCAGAAGAATGTATACATACACACAGGGGAACGCAGCAGATTGGGTTGGAGAAGAAGCTGTGAAACAGAAGAGAGGCGGCAATATCGAATGAAATCACTTTATTCAGTTCCAGTAGCACTATATATGAACATCTATTGAACATTAATCCCTAAGATTGAATCGGCTGGTGCGTTGTCTTGGTAAGTGAACACTCTCCACGCATTGGGCAGTGAAAAAGCTGATTGGTCATTTCATGCATGTGGGCTGGCAGTGGCTTTATTGTGTCTGACTGTCTGCAGAATTTTGATTAAGGTTTTTTTTTTTTTTTTTTTTTTATTAAGGTTTAAATTAATCTTTGAGACTTGGCTCGGCCGCTATATTTTTAGCATCAAAACAATGCCATTGTGGTTTTTATCTACTATACTAATAAGAGTCCAAGAGAGTTAGACCTATAATGGATAGAAAATATAACAGTTAAATTTTTTAATCAAATGAATGATTTGGATTCGTAAGATTTTAATTTTAATTTTTTCTTAAGATTTCCTAATTTATCCCTAATGAATATGATTATCCGCTAACTTCAGTTGGCATAATTAATACTCTATTTTACTCTTATTAAATTAAATAATAATTTAGTAGTTACAACAAAAAATAATACATATGCATTTATTTAATTTAGAAGTATGTGTCTACAATGTCTTTATTCAAAAAAAAAAAAATTATTCATTATCAATAAATTAAATAAGTGAAATAATTTCATTAGTTATATTGTCTTTATTTTTCTCCAATATAAAAATTTTATTTTTCTCTAATGTAAAAATTCTTTACATTTAAATTCATCAATTGATTATATTCACCACTGATAGTTGCTTTTTAGTGATAGTGGAAGGTGTGTGATGGAATGAAGTGTAAACGGGAATTGGGTAACTCCCGAATGTCGAACTCAAGGATGTCAAGTCGGAACAAGTGAAATGCAAGACAATTAGATGTCACAATGTGTCAACAAGAGTGAACTAGGTGCAAGATGAGGATGGTAAGGAAACAAGAGTGTAAGGATAAGGAAACCAAATAAAAGGAAGAAAATAAACAAGTAAACGGGGATTTGGATGGAAGGGGTTTGTGATCATGCATTCTGGTCTTCAACTAGGGACAAGGGATGATGCAAAAGTTGCCTAACCTAAGGGACAACATTAGGTGGCGGCACACCTAATTACCTAAACTCTCATTCCCTACGTCGGGTGAGGCATTCTATCAAACACTTGGTGGGTGGTCTACCGTCTCCTCCCCTAAGCTTGCTCTCTCGGGTCGTAGGAAGGGGATTGCAAGGGCAAGACTAAGAGAGTGCAATCTCTTGCTAAACTCCCACTCTCACACTCATCTAACCATTGGGATCCTACAATGGAAAGAGATCAATATGCACACTTCTACAATAATGGCATTCAAGGACAATCCATACATCAAATCTCATCATATAAACCATACTAAGCATGAATACATAATCAACAAATCAAACTCAATCCAAATCCAAGCAATCTAAGCACTCATCATCATTACAAGGATAGCAAAACACAAATTAAATCTGAAATAATAAATAAGGAAGAGTGATTACCCAAGTCTTCAATCTATTGTGTAAGCATCAAAGGAGACTTTGTAGAACAATGAGTGTAGATCTTCAAGAAAATGTAAATCTAACCTAACCATAATCTAACATAATCTAAGAGTGCTGAATTGAAAGGTGAGGAAATGGGGGAAAAGAGTTCTTCCCAAAACAATCCCCTTACAAACCTTTTTTTAGCCCTAGAATATGAAATGTCATTTAACTATCCCATCCACGCTGCAACGCACGTTGCGAGCTGCGTGGAAATTTCTGGAAATTTCGCCCAAAATGAAAGTTGTAGCCCTTGAAAAACCCGAACCAGAACCACTTGAATCACCTCATTTGGACACTCCTAACTCAGGATATGATCATTTTACCGAACTGTCACCGGAATGCCCTAAAAATGACAATGTTTTGCTATTTTTCAACAAATGCAATAGAATTAGTCCTTAATCCTAATTTCTATCAAATTAAGTTATTTAAGCATGAATTAGGCATAAAGGACTCCAATTATTGCAAGATTAAACTATAAATTACCCTATAAAACATAGCATCTTTGGCACTTATCAACTACATTGTCTACTATTTTTTTTGTGCACTATTTTTTAATTAAATATCAAATTTATAATACAAAATAATGCTATATATTTATTTACCAAGTATTTTATTAATACCATGAAAAAATTAAAAAATATATAATTAATAAAGTCAATCATATTAACTACTTGAGGAATTTGTTGACAAATAGAGTATTCAAATCACACAACAAATTGAAGTGAAAACTATATCGCAATATCCTTGTTTGACAATCATTTTGCGGTTAGCGTTAACGGATTTGACTAGCGAATTATATCAACGGTTGGTAAAAAGATATTCGAATAAATTAGCCGTTTAGATTAACATGTAAAATGACCTAAGGGTATACATAATAATAATAATAATAATAATAATAATAATAATAATAATAATAATAATAATAATAATAATAATAATAATAATAATAATAATTTTTTAAAATAAAAAAATATAATTAAGCCAATCATATTAACTACTTGGGGGATTTATTGACAAAAATAATATTCAAATCACATAACAAATTAAAGTGGGAAACTACCTCGCAATGTCCTCGTTTGGCAATCAGCAGTTAGCTCTTCAATATTAGTATATATTTAATATTTTATGCCTTAATTTTTATTTGTTCCCCCTTATGTCCCATATTTGGTTTCAACCATACATATACAATTATTTTAGAATTACCTATTTAAATACGCAAATTCAACATTCAATTATCTATACATTAACAATTCCAATATAATCTTGTTTTAATATACTTTAAAGTACTTATTTAAAAAATAAAAATAAAAAAAACATTGGCCATTATCCCAATCGTGCAACGCGCATAAAAAACTAATGAATACATATATCAACGGTTGGTAAAAAGATATTTAAAAAAATTAGTTGTTTAGATTAACATGTAAAATGACCTAAAGGTATACATATATTTCATAATAATAATAATAATAATAATAATAATTATTATTATTATTATTATTATTATTATTATTATTATTATTTAAAAAAATAAAAAAAATAATTTAACAAAAGAAATAAAACAAATAAAACATATGGGGAGCCGAACGTTCGACTCCCCTTAGTTTTGTCACTTTTCCCACATCGGTGGGAAAAGTGGCATGGGAGCCTTGAGGCTCCTATAAAAGGAGCCTTAAGGCTCCAATTAAAAAATTAAACTTGCCCATCCGTTGATGGGCAAGCAGTGAGCCAGCGAAACTGACTCTTATTATTCAATTAGTGGAAATGGCTATACAGTAAACTTTTTAAAAATATATATATATATATATAGAGGTGTTTTGGGGAAATCATTCTAAAAAGGTTAAGTGAAAATATTTTAAATTGTAATGTTTGTATTTTCAGTGGTTTGGGTCAAATTGTTGCTTCAAACTGTTGAATAACCAAACACTTTCTTTAGCAGTTTGATCTTTGGGTTATATCATATTTACCAATCGTCCAATATCTTTGGGTTACATTATGATTAAAAATTTTAAATTTTTATTACATCTAAATTCCTTAAATTAGGAATTTCTTTATCCATATGTGCATTCATTAAATATATTAGAACCCTTTGCAACAAAAATACTTAGTTACTATTTAAAAAAAGTTTAGTAACAATTATAATGAATCTCCTCTATTACATTGTATTCATATACTATAAGTTACATATTTAAATAAACAAATTCGACATTAAATTATGTATGTATGAACTTTTCTTATATAATCTTGCATTGATATACTTTCAAATATTTATTTAATTATAAACAAATATAATTATAAACATTGGGTAGAAAAAATAATGACCGTCAAATTATTAAATCAAATAAATGGTTCAGATTGTTCAGATTTTAATTTTTCTTTGAGATTTTCTAATTTATCCTTAATTATATGATTATCCGTTAACTTTTTCGTTAAATACGGTTAATTCACTGTTAGTCTAGTTCTAATATTAAAGTCTAATATAAAATTATAACTACACCATTAATCTAAGGGGGTGTATTCAATCATGACTTTCATAGAATTTTAAAGACTTTTATGAACTTTAAAAGTTTGGGGGTATTCAATTCAAACTTTTAAAGAGTTTTTAAAAGTCAGCCGGTATTCAATTAAAATTTTTAAAGAGTCTTTAAAAGTCGTGTAGTATTCGATTAAGACTTTTAGAGAGTCTTTAAAAGTCACGTGGTATTCAAAAAGTTATGAACTTTTGTAAACTTTTTAATTTTAAGACTTTTGTAGACTTTTTCTTCTCAAATATAAATAGTTGAAATCTAACCATCAACCCTTAGATTTCAAAATTTTATTTCTAACAACTTTGAATGTTTTCTCTCTCTGTTTAAACTCTATTTTTTCTCCCAATTTAAACTTTATAAACTTATCTAAATTTAATAAAATTATTTTTTCTTCATTATCCTATATTTTCCTCATACCTAAACTACACCAATTTTTCTCTCTCTCCTAAACTTTACAATCTTCCTCTAAATATTCGAAATAATATTATTTTTACTTCATTATTGCTTGTTTATATTGATTTTTATTTTTTCTATGAATTTTTTATACATAGCTTTCTCTAATTCTTCCTAAATACATGAACAAAGCAAATTTTTCATCATCAAATTTTAGTATATGTTTCATAATAAACATATAAATAC